ATACTTATCAGCTTGGCATGGATTCAGTGTTTGATCAGAAGCGATGCCATGGCATTCACTCTACATGAACAGATAGGTTCCAGACAACTATTTGACCCAGAAAGTTTCTGGTACTTGTGAAGGATAGCCCATAGTATTAGGCACAACTCCTACAGCATCTGTTCTCCTGAAAGGCCATTATTTAGACAACATCCACTCAGAGTGGGGAGAGAAATTAAACAGCAGTGAGACAGATGAAGGGTGAGCACAGCACTTCATAAAGGAATCCACAAGTCAAAGAAGCAAAGATCCGGGGGACAGCTATGTTCAGACATCTCTGAAGTAAGCTATAGGACATTCATTTCAAAGGATGAAACTAAATCTAGTCCAAAGTAAAACTCAGAAACCACATATAGTGGTTTTATTACAGTTAATTCAGCATGGTTTTGCTTCACTGATCTGCCCAAGCTGAGCCAAATTGCACATTACTGTAGGCACTGCTGACGTTGACATGCTGCAGTATAACTATCTTCAGTCAGGGGAGATCAAGTTCCAGCCACTTCTTCAGACTTTTACAGTGTCATTTGGAAGTCTTCCGTGTGGAATGTGAAAAACCCAGGACACCACTCTTTGTAAATTCCTGATTAGTCTCATCCTTTAAAGAATACTAATATTGATATTTCTGAAGAGCTATCCCAGTGACATTGCAGTTAAATCTTTCTAGGACAGGCACTGAAGAATGCCATTTGAGATTTAAATAAGATAAGAGAAACCAGTATTAAAGAAGTCCAATACATAGTTTTATCAAGATGATGTTGCTTTACCAGACAATGGGATAAAGTGCGGTTGTCAGTCTCAGTAGGATTTTCTGTCTTTATTCTAGTTTTAATTCTAAACCAACTCTGAGAGAAGATATGTCTTGAAATGAAAGTATTTCTAACTAAGAAGGAACTGGTCATTTTTCAAGGCAGAAGACAAAGAAAGAAGATGGAGTAAAGCATGAAAAATGAGAAAGACTACTAGAAACAGAAAAATCTGGGTGATTCTTCAGTCAACTATAGAAGATATGAGATGACAGATACATACAGTGACAGATACACACATAAATCCAAACTTGCAATACCCAATACAGCTATTTTGGAAGAAGAGTAATTTTAGGATGAGTAACTGTGAAAAAATCTTCCTACAGAAGGAATTACATCCAGTCTACTGCTGATAACCTGAAGCCCTTTTCTCATCCATGTTTTTGTAATATTCAGTGCTGTCAGAGGCTTGGGGGTTGCTGGTTTTACTAATCCTCTCACATTACTGCACTCTGAAAATATTTATTACAGCACTGAATTCAACATGTTAGCTATGCATTGGTACTGAAAAGAATCACAGACAGAAATCACACTGCCTTTGTGTGCATGATCTGTCAAGCATCAACAACTGACAGTGACTCAGATTCTTGAGATTTCTTTTTAGCAAATGAGGCATTCTAAATAATACACCCAATGATGTAAACAGAAGGGTGTTTTCACCTAACAACCTTTACCTTAACTTGAAAATGGTAGTATTTTCCAACACAATCAGAAAAATTGTCTGTAAATGAACAAAAGGTTATGAGCTTATATCTTCTGCTTACTTTTACAGTTCCCTAATACTACTCAGATTCAGTAATACTTCTAACAGAATTTGTGTCTCCCTTATCTTTTCCTGCCATCTCACTACCTCAATTAGAGAATCTCCCAAGACATACTCAAAATTTTCACCTACATCCCCATTTCACTGGCTTCAGTCCAACATTCAACCCTCATTTAAAGAAAAAAGAGCGATTAGGACATTCTGGAAGACTGTTTATGTCTTACATTTAGCAAATTCCTCCTGTCTGCATTTGGAAGATTTCATCTGGAACAACATATAATTAACACACTTAAAATGCAACTGTGTGCACTACATACAGCTTCAGTTTAAGCAATTGTAATTCTCAAGACTTCCCAAGAGACAGTCTAGTTGTGCAGAATATTAACCAAACTGATCTTGTCATTATTTACATCAATAAAGAATAGCTGAAATTGGCCTGCAATCATTCTAGTCCAGTTCTGACAAAATAACTAACTAAATAAATAGATCCCACAGGTTGGGCCCTAAACATTCACAAGCTTCCAACATTTCTCTCAATTATTTGTAGTTCAGTGGTGCTTAACATCAAAATTGCAGCATCACTGTAGCTCTTAGATCTGAAAAGCAGTGCAACAAATAGAAAATATAGGGATAATTTGAAAACAACAGGCTTTTAGAGTACATAGTTCAAGCTATCCCACCCTCCTGAACGAGCCTTATTATCTCCAGCCAAACACCTATGTCATTTTTCTCACCCTTACCGTGAGTTTGATCATAGAACAAATGATCCAACCTGCTATAAAACTCTGCCTCTCCCCATACTGTGACCCACAGTTATCCTATATAACTTCTGCTGAATCTGTCTATAAGCTCTACTTCAATTAACCGAAAGCCAGAAAGAATTCCACCACTTCAAGTGCTGATGTCTTGTGGAGACACTTTGAACATGCAGGCTCTCTGAAAAGGCATCCCCATTACACTATCAGTCTGTCTGGCATTACTGGCCGGACAGACTACTAAACATTCATTGGATATGGACAGTCTGAACAACAGTGTGAACACAAATAAACACTGTTGGGCTGTTTTAAATTGGGAAAGAAACTCCAGAAAGAAGGCAAAAGGCTTCTTTCCCTGCCAGTAGCTTCATCCACTTTGGTCATATGTCTGATCTGCACTTCCACTGATCTAAAATGAAACATTCGGAGCACTGAAAGTCTATTTCAAAATGACAAAACATATTACTTTTAGCTTACACTGAGCAGACTGAGAGAACAGTGACAAGCACTGACTGAGGACTTTGAGCCAACACCATCACCCATGCTCCACAGTGGTTTTGGTAGGCCTTATCTTAAAAGTCTCTCCTGCGCCTACAAGATCCATGACACCAAATACACCAGCCCATGTCTCCCATTTTCAGCAGATCTCTTTGTGAATACCTTTGTTATCGGGTGTCCAGTAGTTACCAGGCAAACCACATTAAATTTATTCCACAAGAGTGGACTAGAAAGCTTCAATAGAAAAGATCTTAATCCCAAATGAAGCCTTTCACTCATATTTCCTTCTGAGTAAAGAGAAGAGCAAACTGTAGAGAATTCAAACACGGTATTTAGATAGGACTCAAATACCTGCAAGATAATAATGAACTTCTGAAGGAGTTCTGCTATGTATACCCAGAAAATTTAAACCAGTTCTTCCATTTGGTTTGGTAATGCTGCTGTAAGAGAAAATGTGGAGGGAAGGATGTGGATGCCAACTACCAAATTTTCTCATTCTGCACAAATCTGCCATATCCTAAAACATTTCATACACTTCTAGAGAATACAAAGACACAAACTTAGTAGACTTAATACCAGTAACAAGCTTAAAAAGCAAAACAAAAGCTACTTTAAAAAGGTTACTTTTGCCTCCTTTTCAGGGGAAACGTCTACAGAAACAGTTCACCTAATATAATTTACATTAAAATGTTGTATAACTTCATTAAAAGAAAAGCATGCATTTCAATATACAATTACATATAAATAATTTTATCTATACATATATATTGTGTATATATATTAAGTATATATTTATATGACAAGATTGCATCTATAAAATTATAATTTTATATAGGTAATATTATGTATGCCATATATATACATTAAAAAAAATAAATAAAATTAGATAAGAAGCTGGGCCCCTTTAAAATCTTCTCATTTCTTAAAACACTGAAGCTAACTGTCCTAGATCCAGCATACTTCACAGTAATTTCCAAGTTCTTTTTTGGACTTGGTAAATCAACAGAATACTGGTGAGGAATAAGTGCTTTACATATTTTCCTTAAAAGATAAAGTGCAGTACAGGTTTATTATTTTTTGTAGCTGGATGACTTCTCTTTTCTTGCATGAGTGGAATAAAATCCTCACAAACTGAATTACTGTATTGTGAACTTCATTTCACCTTTAAAACCATAGGTCCACATTACAACAGACACTGTGTGCCTAAGTGAAGCCAAGTGACTGCAATGTATTTCAATGTGCAAGATGTATTAAGGAAGAACATGAGTCTGACTCCAACATTTCTTTGTACTTAGTGTTAAGTGCAACTGATATATAAAACTGGAAGAAAAAAGCCAGCTAAACAGAGGAGCAGCGTGATAGCAAAGCGACAGCTGACAGCTGAAAGCACAGAAAACATTGAATAGGGCAGACTGCAAACACCCATGGTGGCAACAAGCTGCAGTCAGGCACTGAGAAAATCTGAATGGGCTGATGCAGAACTGAGTATTCACCACCCCAGCTGGGAGTAAGCTCCCTCAGCCAACAGGGAAGTCAAAATCCACAGACTTTCTGGACAGAAAACTAGTGCAGCGCCATAAGCATCTCCACTGCAGCATCCCTACTGCAACATCCCCAGTGCAACATCCCTACTGCAGCCTATAATTGGGCAGGTAAAACAGCTTTCTTTAGAGTTCCTCCCTCCAACTGTAAAACCAATTTAATTTGGTTTAACACTCAGTTATATGCAGCAATAGCCAAGGTAAACATTTTCATTTCTGCAGAACTCTATTTTTGTTTATTGTCAAGTGACTTGACTAGTATTTGCTTTCCTCTTTTAAATAGGAAATAAGAACTGTTGGTGGGGGGCGGGATGGGAGGGGAGGGAGGGGAGAAATCCAATAGAGTTAAGTTTCAAATTTAACCCACCAGGAAAAAAAAGTATTAAACTGTAGAAGAAGAACTAGAAGAAGCTCAAAACCTCTTAGATGCAGTATAACTAGTACAGGGTACAGGCTGCTAAGCTTACAATTTGATACTGAGCACAGAAAAAGCAGCAAAAGGAACAGCCTAACAAGGTAGATCATTTCTACCTCTGTAGTACCTTCCTGCTGTGAAATATTTACCGCGTATTTTCAGTAACAAGATTATTCTCAAACATACCTGTTCAAGAAGTTCCTTGTATGTTATTTTCTCCTTGGTATTTGTTACAGGACTGTCATAAATAATAGCAATTTGGTCTCCTTGTCCATTCTCAACATGACGATCTACAGCATTGTAACAGATATTCAGCTCTCCACCTACAAACCTAAAAAGAGAAGTTGTAAGTATGTAACAGCCAGCCTTTCAAACAAATACTTTTTCTTTTTTTTTATTTTTTTTTTTTTTATGGGGAATGAGGGCACTCAATTAAAATATAGCTCATAAAACATTACACTCAGTTCAGGAAGTCATTTTTTATTCTATAAACCCGCAATTTACTCAAAAAGCTAAATAAGTCCCTTACTGAAAAATATAAAACTGCTGTACCCTAATTGACTTAACTAAGAATTTGCTAAACTTGGTCTTAATTTAACTGCTTTGCATCAATCAATCTGATTTTTATAACTAAGGTTTCACAGAAAGAGCATCCTTTCACATAAAATAACCTGACATTACGAAAATACATTATCGCACTACTTTGTGTTGGCAATCTCATACCATTTTTAAGAACAGGTTTAGGACTCAAAATGTTCTTACTCATCTCTTAGCAGTAACAGTTAAGCGTATAAGCATCTGTATCTAAATGAAACTGAACCCAACAGTTACAAAATCTTATAAATTTGTCTGACATTCATAATCCATTTGACATTACCATGTTTTACATCAGTGACTCAAAATCCCCTCTAAAGGGATGTGAGTCATAGCCTCTTTAACAGCCAAGAAATTCTCATCTCCTAATTAAGAAAAAACACTTCACAAACTCAGGTTTCATTTTCATTGTCATTTTACATTGAGGGAGGCTTGAATAAACAATCAAGTGCAGCATAATCCTCAAGTAAAAAAATACAGAAGGCACCAGATACAGTGATGACTCTACTGAGAGATGGCACAACCTAAAAATTAAAGTTCATGCTAAATAATGTTCTGTATTTCTTTTTCTATCTGCACATCTCTCTACAGCAAAAAGAAATGGAAAAAACGTAGTTGAAATTTTCAGAAAAGTTCTGTGGGGATGCCCTACTGTGACAGTGTATTGTTATAACATAACTAGAAGTAAAAACAGAGGGCCTAAATTAAGCCACTACTAATTTAAATGTATTTTCTTCACTTTTCCTGTATAGTAAATGACTGCTCTAAATTAGAGTATTTTAGATACTATTCGTATATCCACATGCACACATGCTATGGGATAGTCTTTATTGTCAAAGAACAGCAACTACTGAATTAGAAGTTCGGATGTTTAGGATGCAGCAATCTTTTCCTGCAACTCCTTTGCTACACCGTTACTAAGGAGAAAGCTACGCACCAGGAAACTAACAAAATCACTCTACTACAAACTCCTTCCTGTAAAAGAAGAACTGTATGAACAATAAAGGATCCAGTATTGTTTCATGTAATACAGAGAAATTTTGTATTACTGTCATAAAAGTTGTGTTCTCCATTAATTTTATAGCAAATCACTGTAGGATGATATGAACAAGGGAACAAGGGAGCACAGCACCTGGGCTACTATTGAGAATGGTGAAAACATGAGCAAGCACTAGAGCTTATATTATTCTAAAGACACATGGCAATATCACACTGCCACATAAATTTTTAACTATCGCTTGCAAACAAATATGTAGCAAAGATGTGACTGCAGGTCAAAACAGAAATACCCTGTCCTGGGTTCAGGAGTAGCAGTCATTTTTCTCCTTCTTAGTAGCTGGTGCACTGCTGTGTTTTTGACTTTCAGCCTGGGAACAGCACTGATAACACCGATGTTTTTAGTTGCTGCTCAGCAATGTTTACTCTGACCAAGGACATTGTAAGTCTTATGCTCTGCCAGGGAGGAGGGGAAGCCGGGAGGACGCAGAGACAGGACACCTGACCCAAACTAGCCAAAGAGGTATTCCATACCATAGCATGTCATTCCCATAATGTAGAACTGGGGGCAGTTATCCGGAAGAGCTAGATCACTGCCCGGGTCGGGCTGGGTATCAGTTGGTGGGTGGTGAGCAGTTGTATTCTCTTCCCTTGTTATTTTCCTGTCATTACTGTTACTGGTGGTAGCAGCAGTGATTTGTGTTATACCTTAGTTACTGGGCTGTTCTTATCTCAGCCTGTGGGAGTTACATTCTCTTGATTCTCCTCCCCATCCCTCTGGGAGTGGGGGGAGGAAGCGGGGGGGAGTGAGTGAGTGGCTGCATGGTTCTGGGTTGCCAGCTGGGCTTAAACCACGACCTACTCCAAGACTATATGGTTAGTCTGATGAGTGCTCTGCTACCCCATTCAGAAAGCAGGAACCTCTTATGGGATCAGAGAAGCACAGATGCACCTACTGAGACCACAACTGCAAGACTTTTGCTTCTCTACTTTTACCCAAGTATATGCTCAAATACCTCATTCCAGCTAACAAATAAAAGCTGTTTGGCTTTGAAAAGCTGCCCTGTGCTACTTCAAACTTCTGGTGATCCAATAATTCTCAAGGAGATGAATAGCTATGGGTAACTTTGATTTATCTGAATAAACTTTAGCTGGAAAGAAACAGGAGCAAGAAACCAGGACGCAGTATCCTGGTTTCGGCCGGGATAGAGTTAATTTTCTTCCTAGTAGCTGGTACAGTGCTGTGTTTTGGATTTAGCCTGAGAATAACACACCAGTGTTTCAGCTGTTGCTAAGTAGTGCTTCCTCCAAGTCAAAGATTTTTCATTACATTTAGTGTTGCTCTTATTGTCTTATTATACTTTTTTTTTTTTTTGGGGGGGGTCCCCAGTTATTAAACCATTCTGATCTCAACCAATAGCTTTTACCTTTTTCTAATTCTCTTCAATCCCACTGGGGCTATGGGGGGGGGGGAGGGTTACTGGGGGAGAAATTGAGCAGCTGTGTGCTACAAACAGGGTTAAACCATGACACCCAGTCTTGGAATAAGGACATCAATGAGATGCTCCTATTTAAAACAGAGGTCTAGGATCAAAAGGAACATATTCCAGTAGACTTCAGAAAGATCAGAGGTGGATCTGCAGGATATTTCTAAGAGCTGCCAGTAAATCTTGCCATAATAAGCAGGACTGCAAAATGCTAATCTGTTGCTAACCAGACAATTATCTCAGTGCGGCTTACCAACTAAACTCAAGTCTGAAAAACCTTATTTTAGGCTGTGATCCCCATGCTGAGAAACTACTAATATTTGATAAACAGAAGAGGAGTAAAACAAATAAAAAGAATACACAGTAATAACTCTAATACATAAAAAAAACTGCATTCAGCTCATCAGCAGTCTCTGAAGAGCTCAAATACCATCCACCCGTGCTGTGGTGGATGGTACAAATTATAGAATTCTTCCTGTCAAAACCGACAGACTTTAAAACTGTTTATGGTATCAAACCAGCTTGCTTCACTGTAACATTTTAAACCAATAAGATTTAAGGAGGAAAAGAAGGTGGCTGGTCTCTTCTCACAAGTAACAAGTGATAGGACAAGAGGTAACAGCCTCAAGCTGTGCCAGGAGAAGTTTATACTGGATCTTAGGAAAAATTTCTTCACTGAAAGATTAGTCAGGCATTAGAACAGGCTGCCGAGGAAAGTGGTGGAACCACATTCCCTGGAAGTGTTCAAAAACCATGTAGATGAGGCCCTTAAGTGACATGGTTTAGTACGGGTACTTGGCAGTCCTGGGGTAGCAGTTGGACTTGATGAACTTAAAGGCCTTTTCCATCCAGCTGATTCTATGATTCTAACATTTTGACAGTAGCTACCTATCCTTTTGATAAGTCTTCTTTCCCACAGCTTTTGATTGTCCACATTATGCATAAATTAGATCTAACATGGCATCTTTTTAATAATTTGAGTCTGGTTAATCATTAGGACCTCCATGAGCTTCTTTAAAGCTTCCTACATCAGTCACCTCAGACTTACTGCCTCTCCATCACTGGGGCTCAGCAGCTCCAGTCTCATCTCAGCCCGAGGTCTCGCAGAGTTTGCATGTTTACATAGGAATCTTCAAGCACATGCACTTAACCTCTTTCATCATATTTAAAAATACTACTCTGATAACCTTTTAGGGGGTAGCAGTAAAAGAGGGCATGAAAGTTCACATCTTCTGTAGCAGGACTCCCATTACATGCAGCTTAACATCTACTATCTGCAGTCTGGACGGTTTTTTACTGCATTCAGTATTTTGTTGGGTGTGACAATAGCCTACTTCCTCATAATGAAATAAGTACAGTAGGGAAGAAGGTAACACATAATTATGCCTTAGTTTACTCAAATATTAGAAAGCTATGCTTTAATTTCCAACACTACCTGCTATCTTAAGAATCAAAGTAGCTGCATTCAGAGACAATTTTTAGTCTTTAACAGCTCCAAAGCAAAGATAATCAAGAATTAAAAAAAAAAGAAAGAAACTAAAGGCTCTGAATAAAGCTGGCATACATGCAAAAGAACTACATTAAAATTACTTTGCACCGTAAGTATAAAACTGCATACTGCTAAAATCCTTTATGCCATGCAGAGTACACACACTTCCCCAAGCCAGGTCCCCAGGAATCAACTGAATTATTTTCTAGATGAAGTGAGAACAGAAGCTGAATAAAATGCTAAGACAAAACCATGACAACATTAGATATTCTGAGATAATATTATGTTAATTGATCCTGTCTCGTTTTTTAAAAGTGTAAGCAACATGTGAATAGCAATCTGTGCAACATTCCTAAAGCTCAGATGGGATTTTATATTGCATTTATGTCTTAGAATAAGAGAAAAAAAACTAACTTGCAAAACTGCCATCTGCCTACATGCATTAGGAAAATCTGTTTCCACATTCCTAAGGAAATATGTGCTTTAACCTCTACAACGGGGATTCCACGAGATTCCAAAATAATCCATTCAAGTGTTTCACTATCTTTAGCATTGGACTTTTCTTTCCAGCATCTAAAATTTACATCTCCCTTATCGCATTTTAAGGCTTCTAGCTTTGACCTTTTCAAAGCCAACTCAAACAGCAGTTTTCCTTTGAACTTTGCAGCCAAATTCTACGAGTTTTAAAACTTCAGGCTCCTATTTGGTTTTTACACCGAACAACTTTATTCCTTCATTTTTTCTTGACTGTTTATGCTTTTTTGATCTTCTCTTTATTTTTAATGTGCACAAAACCTGATGGTGTTTTGACCCATACCAGCCACTTATGCAGGTTAGTCAACGATACCTGGGATTTCTGCTTCACCCAAGCAACACTGACCACTTACCTTATGGAAATCATTCTGCATCCCACTAACATAATACTGGTATTTCCAATGTCAGAGACTAAAGATGCACTAGGGCATACCATATGTTTCTTTCATACTCTTACAGTATTTAGAGGACAAATAAGAATTTGCCTTATAGCTACATTATAACTACATTAAGCACCCCCTTCAATTTCTTCAACCAAAGCAAATGAGACTGAAAAATATATGAAAAGTAAGTCTCACATTTGGCAACCAAAAACAAAGATATTGAAAAAAATATATTTATTAATTAACCAAATAATATGTCTCCAAAACAGGAGACAAATTCTAACTAAGAAACATATACATGAGCTTCTTAACATTATTCTTAAGGTCTCTTGTAAGCTGTTTCTTCAGTAAACCTCAGAACTACAGCTACATTTTTACCCTGTTAGACCAGCAAGCTATGCTTTTCTTGGAAGCCTGGACTCCTCCTCAGTTATGCTTCATCCTCTTTGTTTTCTCTTCAGCATGTCCTCTGAAAGAGCCGCTTGTATCCTCTCTCTTATAGTAAGTCTTTTCCTCAAAGAACTTGCGTATCTTCATCCTGCTGAGCACACTGAATGCGGGTTAACTATCTGGTACTTCAGAGGTGTTACAGTACTACACTAGTACGGCATCCAGCCTGTTATCACTTAAGGGGAACTTAAATTTAAAAAAGAAATAAATTTGCATGTTGCAAATTAATACAATAAAGAGGATTATACAACATCAAATTGCTTAATGTTTTATCATCCACAACTGTTCAGCAGATACCTGGCATGGAAACAATAATTAGGGCCTGATGTTGAGTCTTCAGAGCCTTGCATCTGATTGAGGTCAGAAGAAACCTCTGGAGGGTACATGGTGCAACCCCCCTGCTCAAGCAGAGCCACCTACAGCTGGCTGCCCAGGACCATGTCCAGATGACTTTTGAGTATCTCCAAGGATGAAGACCCCACTAACTCTGTGCCACTGCTCAGTCACCCTCACATTTAGAAAATGTTTCCTGATGTTCAGAAGAAACCTCCTGTGTTACAGTTTCTGCCCACTGCCTCTTGTCCTGTCCCTGGGCACCACTGAAAAGAGGCTGGCTCCACTGTCTGCATACCCTTCCTTCAGGTATTTACTCATGTTAAAAAAAAAATTTCAGACTGTGGCAACCTGCATCCACAGAGGGAGAAAGATGAAAGTGAGAAGAAAGGCCAGAAAAGAACCTTAGAAGACAAGTCTGACTTCAGCCCAGGAAATTCTGTTCAGTTATCCCTGCCGTAAGGCCAAATAACTTCCACCTGATAAATCACAATGCTTCATGAAGACCTAACCATGTTACTTTCAGCAGGCAAGCTTATCATGCTCAACAAGTCAAACCACATTTGTTTAACAGAACTGAATAGCAAAAGCATTCTCTCGAGCATGTCTTCTATATTATATTTTCATTCCTTAGTTCTTATTGACTGCTTCATTATTCTCACTATTTGTTCAGGAATGCAAGAGCCAATGAGCTATACTGGTCTTTAATCACAGAATCATAGAACTCTTTAGGCTGGAAAAGAGCTTTAAAATTATGAAGTCCAACCATTCGCTTGGCACTGCCAAGCCTGCCACTGAGCCATGTCCCTCAGTTGCTACATCTACACATCTTTTAAACACCTCAAGGGAGGGTGACTCAGGACAGCCTGTTCCAGTGTTTAACAACCCTTCTGGTGAATAAATTGTTCCTAATATACAATCTAAATCTCCCCTGGTAAAACTTGAGGCCATTTCCTCTCATCCTATCACTTGTTATTTGGCAGAAGAGATCAGCCCCCACCTCACTACAACCTCCCTTCAGGTAGTTGTAGAGAACAATAAGGTCTTCTCCAAGCCTCCTTTTCTCCATCTAAACAGCCTCAATTCCCTCAGCTGCTCCTCAGAAGACTTGTGTTCCAGACTCTTCTCTAGACCTCTCTTCTCTATTGCTATGCAAGCAATACTGCCTCCCCACCCTTTTTGAATAGTGCCATGATCTAGAAATCAAGGTCAGTGGACTCTATCCATCTATTTTAGGACTTCTCACTGTCACACAGCCCTGCTGACTTCATGAGCTTTAGCCTGGCTGGCACCATTTAACATTCAGTTTAAGACATATAAACAATTTTCACTACTAGAAGTGCCACGGAGTAACACCAGACCAATAACAAAGCAAGCTCCATTCTACAGGTTCTGCATCTCTTCATCTGGCCAGATTTAAGAATGATTAATATTTTTAATTCCACTTTTAGAATTATTATTTTTAAATGTATTTTTAAATTAAACTAGAAAAATCTAAAAGTGGCAAAGAACATCAATGTACCAAAGATGATCCTCATTTCCTTTTTTATCCTGTATCAGCTTCTCATTAGAAAAGATCAAAAAGTATGATGTGAACTTCCTGAAAACATGTGTTTGTAGTCAACATAAAATTTTAACAGGTAAATTGCCTTTGAGAAAGTACTGGAAAACCTATCTGGTAATTTACAAGAAGGGTGTCACATTCTGTCTTAGTTTGCCATTTATCACATATGTATATTACACCACAGATACGTATCTATTACAATGCCAGTACTTTCGCCAAACTTTATCTTAACTGCATCCTCTAAATTATTACCTACTTAGCGTCTAAGACTAAACAACTCTGAAAGCCACAGCTCCTGTGTTTCCATGCACCCACCTCCCCTCGCACCCCATGCCCAGTTTCCTATGCTCACAGCAGCCAGGTCCTATGCCCAAAAGAGGTCCTATGGGAGAACACCAGATGCACTCACATGTGTCCCTCACACCTGCCACATACATGATAACTCCCCTCTCACCCCGAAACACTCATCCGTGCGACTTTTAATCATTAAGCTTAACCAAACGTAGTAATTAAACCCCTCTACTCTCTGCAGCCACCTCCATCACCTATGGCACACTGACGACGAACCACTAGCACTGGGGCAGTTCTGTGTTAACCACACGACGCAGCACACCCGCTCCCCCTTCGGCAAGCTGCCCTCCCCGCTACAGCTGAGCGGTGCCCTGCCGCGCTCTCCCCGGCCCCGCGCAGAGCAGACTCACCAGGAGGCTCCCCCCGGGCGGCCGCTCTCCAGGGCCCGGTCCCAGGGCTTGTACCAGTGTATCTGCTCGGCGGCTGCTCCCCACACCTTCTCGGGCTCCGACAACGAAGACCTAAAAACTTCCTCGTACTCGCCCAGCGCTGGGGAGGAGGCGGCGCGGCCGCCGGGCAGCGGGCTGCGGGTAGCGGCGGCCCAGCACGGGAGCGGGCCCCCCGAGCAGGGCATTTTCGACCGCTGCCACACGCCGCCGCCCCGGGCCACCGCCCCGGCCCCGAGAACTTTTGTCAGTGCTGGCAGCCTGCCCAAGAAGCCCATGTTTTGCGGCCTACAAGGGACGGGAGCCGCACACGGCGCGCTGAGGCTTCACAAACCCCTCCGACGGGACCGGACCAGGCGGAGCGGCAGCAGCAGCTCCCAGTGGCCCGCGGTGCGCGGCGGCCTGCCTCCATCCCGGCGCCCCGCGGCCAGGGGGCGCTGGGGCAGTGCGGAGCGAAGCGATGAGCGCCGTGTCCGAGCGAACGGTGGTCCCGGGTGCACCCCGGGGAGCTGCAGGGCGGGAGCTATGTCGGGGGGTATCCGGCCGTGCCAGGGCCGTCCTGCTTTCCCAGCGCTTGGCAGCGGCCGCCGGCGGAGAAAGGCTGAGAAAGGGAACACCAAAAACCTGGGATTAATTTTGGCTTAATGACTTGAGAATAAAAGATCATTCTGTTTTCCAGAAGAGGTTCACATTTGTAGTGTTTTATTTTACACATCTTGGTGTATATTTAGAAACTCTCGCTGAGTTTCGGTGGTAACGTTTCAGAGTGTTATAATGCACAAGTCAGCTAAGACATCAACCAGCTTAAAAGATGTTATTTTTTTCCTTATGAAATTATTTTAGTGCTATAATAGGTCTATCCATTATCCATTTCCTATCAGGAAATTCTTGCTGCAGTCACATTATAAAAATGTTATATGGCTGAGGAGAACTCTAATATATTCTATATTCATGGTTAACTCCGGCGTCTGTTATCTGACTGTTGTTGAATTAGTGCAATGGGAACATAACAACACACTACAGGTAAAGAAATAAATGGATAAGTAGACTGTTTATGGCCTATAGAGTTCAAGTTCATCAGAACTTTTAAGGTCACCTTCAAAACCACTCATAGCCTTTCAGCATAAAGACTGGTTGCTGCTTCTGGTTTTGAGGCAAATATAATCACTCAGAGTTTCCCATGGCTTGCAGAGTCTATTAGTGTTGTCCAGTGCTGTATGAACCACTTATCCTCTGCTGCACTGCAGTTAACCTCTCTTTATATAATATATGTAATATTACGTTATATTACATTGCATACGGTGCTGAATCCAGCGCAGTGACTGTCTGTCTACCTGAGGTATGCCACTGGTGGACTTCACAAGAAGTATCAGTTGCTCCAGCCCAATTTGTGAAGCCCACTCTCCCTAATCAGATCATTAGAGGTACATTATGTCCACTCCCCAGCGTGTAACCCTTCCTATTAATTGCCTTACAAGCTACGTTTTTTAGATCACCAACACGTGGATGCCCATCTAATAAGGAAGGGACATATAGCAACTGGATGCAGACAGCTTCTGGGTGGCAATAGCAATCTGTTTCTCAGCTGGAACATCTCCCTTTTCCCTCCTGGGGTAAAAACTGTCATGGCCAGGCTAGCTAAAATATTTCTGTGTTTTCTGTAACGTGTTAGTTGTAGGCACTAGTACTGAAAGAATCATCCTGGGATTTAAATACCTAATGGGCTGTGTCTGATGATGTCTAATATTTCTTGTGGTGTTGAAGGGCAATGCTAACCATTTTTCTACTCTCTCCATAGTGTGTGTTTAATGTGAAAGTATAAGCATTTGGCAAAGGAATTTGCATTGCAACAGTTAATTCTCTGGTATTCATTTTGCATACATATCCTACTAGAAATTATATGCTAGAAGCATAGGGGATACAAATGAACTTAATCAGAACATGAAGTGCATGAAATTCCTATTTTAGCTAGCATCCTAATATCTGTTTCCTGAAGGAATGTTTCTAATGAGTATCTATGGAACATACTTCATTAATTAAACTCATCACAGCCCATACTAATAACTAAAAGGGTAAAGAAGGGGATTGCTAGTTCTCCCAATTGCATGCTAGTAATTTAAGGTTCACTTACAAATACTATTATAGCAGATTTCTGAATTGATGAATCTTCTCTCTGAGGATTTTTTTTCTTTATTGCAAAACTTGATGCTTCTGAAATTCACACTCGACAAAGAATTCTGAAGTAATGTCAAGTGATGTGTGTAGCAATTCCCTTTGTAGCTGTAGATTTCTTTCAAAAACCTATGTACGTGCCTAGGCACAGATCTAGCTAAGAGCAAAACCGTGAAACATGGCCTGGCTTCTTATGCAATTGCAAAATTATTTACCTGAAGCCTTTCTTTCGTTTAAGAAAAGCATTTTTTTTCCGCAACGGTATCCTTTAGTGTAAGGCATGCCTGTTTGAAAATGTATGTATGTTGAAAAAAGATTGGCAGAAAATTATTATAAATATCATCTCCAGTATATGGAATGCTCTGACTGCCCTAGTGTGAAAGACTTCCAAACTTTGGTAATTCAAATTTTACTTAGAGTCCTTTTGTAAGCACAAATTAAAACTGTAGTCAAAGAATTAGTACATACGTTAGATCACTTTGGTATGGTTCTATACAGCCTTTTGTCCAACTCTTAGACTGTGTCTATCCCAAGGAACTGCCAGTCTTATACAAATAAGTTTCATAGTCCCGTATACCGTTGATGTCTGAAAAATAGAGGTATAGTTTTCCACAATGCAGGGTTAAGTTCAAGTCAATATAAACTTTCACATTTTCCTGAGAGGTGGTGGAAGTAGTAGTAGTAGTAGCAGTAACCAGCACCCTCTTAAGTACATAAGTAGATACAATTATTCTTCCGTAGATTCAAATATTCTTCCATAGATAAAATTATTCTTCCCGTTTAATATTCAGTCTTAGAACACTGAACATATCACAGCTTTACTTGAAATCCACTAAAATTAAACAAATTACTACTTCATTAAACTTTTCAAGTAGATATTTTGACTATTTTTAGTGAATATAAAAGGTGGTTTTTGCATGATTTGTTCAGCAACAGTGAGATCTGGTCATGGGGACAACCAAACCAAGCCAAGCAAACAAAACCAAAAAAAATGAAAACCCCACAGAAATACTTGGGCTTGCCATTCTTCTTTGTTTGACTGCTGCCTTCCAGCCTAAGGATGCCTTCAAGTCAAAGGTCTTAGGTATACTTACCTTTTGCAGCTCCCAGAATAGTGATGCAATGCTGAAATCAATGCGTCCATGGTGGATCACCCATCTGCCCACTGAAGTGCTGGGAATTCCTGACCTTCTTTTTATTTCTACCTTCTGGAAATGAGTGTGTAATGTGCTGGGACACAAACAATGAGAACTTATAAAAATGCTAAAATATCTGTCTGTGCAGGCAGAAGCCACTTTGTACAGGCTTCTGGAAAGCGCTTAAATGGAAGTCTGACTCAATCCAGGTGACAATGATTTTGAGATCCTCTGGGATGAAAATGTGATTTTAGTATCAATTATTACTCATGTTATAATTTGATTCCTCCCTGAGGAGGACTGACAGTGCAGGAAAACCTGTATTTCATCCATATTTTTCCAGATCTAAGTTCTGTTTCAGAAAGCTTCTAGGGCATATGCTTAGCTTTATTCTAGGAGTCTTACTCACATGAGACCCTGCTAAATCTGAGTCAAATGTTCAGACAGCTCTGATAAAACTCTGCAGGGCAATAATTTTCATACCTTTAAGGTCTAAGCAGACTTTGAAAATGTGGGAAATAAAACCAGGTAGATAATGGGGAATTATTAAAGATAAAAAAAGAAAAAAAGAAAACCTAAAAAACCCCACAAAACCACCTTACAAATCAAGCACATGAAAGCAAAGTAGATTCACATGAAAGCAAAGTAGATTCACATGAAAGCAAAATTTATGGTATGTTCTTCAGTATTTAGGCATGCTTGAGGAAAAAAGTCCATGGCCAAATCCATGGAGGACAAGTAGAATATTAGCATTTGCTTTTCATTTCTGGATTTAGCTTACAAACTTGATGATGTAACTTTATAAAGACAGTCATTGAATGATTTCCAGGTAACCCGTGACCCTGAGCTGCCCAGATTCCTGAAATCACAGATATTGATTACTTGTCTCTATGAGAGCAACATCTGCTTTTTTATCCAAAGCTACTCCCATTTTTTTGATAAGCCTCTACCACTGTTTTACAGATCACTGCATCAGAACCATCACAGGCACAAGCACTGTTATTACAAACTGTTCATCATTCAATATATATTCTTTGGAGGGGACAAGAATTTTAAGCACTGGTGTTTTTATTGATGTTCCTTTTGAACTTGATAATGAAAGTAACCGTGGATTTTGCAACCGTTCTTTTACCCAGAAAGTTGTCTTTTTCATAGAACTGCAAAAGAGTCCATTAGCCCTCAGTCTAAATGTTAACGTCACTATTGGCATAAAAATTAAGTAATTTTGTAGTTACCTGTTATATAAATATTTCGCACCAACAAAACTTTCTCAAATTGAGAATACAGCCCAAGAAGCATGAAGAGTTTGGCCACTAGTACAGAAAATTTATGCTTAAAAATTGCAATGACTCTGAGTTCTATTTTTGACCTTTTTTGCCTAAGATAAAACTGATGTTCCCAAAGTATCCAGACTTGGGTCAACGGTACAGAGATCATGTCTCCTGACTTGGAGGATTTGGGGAGGATGAAGAGGATATGTAGCTAAAGGTAGAAAGAAAAAGAAAAAACATATACACCCTCTGGGTGCATGTGGAGTGCAAACCTTGCATCATTTGCCAGGATAGAGACTCCTAGGAGCATGGGGCTAGCTGGCACAGCTGTAGTATTTATCATGTCGCCTGTCACATCCCTCTGGAAGAAGCTATCAGGAGTATTGCAAGGACAATAAACTTGCCTAGGAGCTTGCCCCAATGGCAAACTGTGGCTTAGCATATTAACGTATACTGAAGGGCCTCTTTCTGTATAACTGACATTGGCTTAGTCTGCTCCATTTCTGGTTATCTCCCGAAGTTTCATTCTTGCAATCCCGTTCTCAACAGTTGCTGGGTTTTGTCCTTGTTACCTATTTCATGATACTTATTCCACTACAGAATTATATTCACTGCCTGACAAGAAAAGCTAATGCTCAAACGCTGTGGTAATGTGCTGACTGAGTTCATCTACAGAATTATATTGCAAGCAAACTAGAAATTAACACCTAAATT